CCCCAAAACCCCAAAACCCCAAAACCCCAAAACCCCAAAACCCCTATTATTGCCACAACAATTGAACTGTAGCAAGCTCTTGAAATAATAATTAATTTTGTCTTAGTTTAGGGCTTGATCAGATTTTGAAGAGATCGATAAGAATCTTGCTTACTCTACAATCTCTTGACTCTCGTTAAAGCCAGTTTTAATCATGAGCTTCGGAAGAGGGTTATCGGTTCCGTTAATTTTCTCCTTGGAATTATCTTTGTAGTATTCTTCAATGTGCTTATCTTCTTCGTTTTCATCCTGCTGTTTCTTTTTGTATCTACAACTCATCCAATATTCTCTTGCCCAATAAACATAGATTAATGGCCAAGTCCAGAGAAGAAGTCCAATCCATCCAGCAAGGAAAAGTAGGATGCTATCAAGCACATGGTTTTGAAATAACTCTCGGCAAATGTGAGATTTTATTCTTTGGGTAGCACTCAGTATCATTTCAAAGAATCAGATAATTAGGATAACCCATAGGATAGTCCACATAACTCGTAATTGCTTCTTTTTACCTTTAATTTTGATGTTTATAGTCTCAGCAGTCTCAGAACCAAATCTATCTTTGTATTCCTCAATATATGAAATACGGCTTCCTCCATTAGGAGTTGATTCATCAATAGGAGCACTTTCAACTAATTTTTCTTTAAAGTCAACATTCAAGTGATCTCTGCTGTTGACTTTAATTCTATCTTCAATTCTTTCATTCTGTTTCCTCTGTTTGTTAAGAAGAGGATTGAGGATACTTTGCTGAATCCTCCAGCCGATGAAGATGAATCCGAAGGTGACTGCAAGGCCGAGAAATCTCATCATGACCCATAAATTGTTCCTACAAAAGTTGTTATTTAGCTCCATCTCTGATTAGTATAAGAACAATAGTCACAATTCAGTGCACTATTTGAATACCACTTGTTGAAATGAGGCCTAGCTTAGTATAGTAAATGAAGTCGTTATCTTTGTTTGATAATATTTCAACTGCTTGAGCAGTGAAGAAATAAACTCAATAGTAAAACCCAATATATTTGACTATTTCTTGGGTCATCTGGAAGATTATTTGGGCCAATAATGATCCACTCTGAACAAAGTGGGTCCAATAAGCTATGCATAATATAATCTGCAACAATACTATTGACAAGGATACGAACCTAAATCTAGAAACGTCATGAGTTCTTCTTAATTTTCACAGTGAAAATAATGCGATTATGACAATCAGCAGGTTGATAATGCTGATTACCCCTAAAACTTTGAATACAACTCATTCTCCAAACGAGTTGTCAAAGCCTTCTTGCCCATCTTTTGGGTGCTGGCACCTTGATCCTAGAGCCCCCATCTATAATATTTATTATTCAATTTCACGGACGAGGAAAGGGGTTTTGGGGTTTTGGGGTTTTGGGGTTTTGGGGTTTTGGGG